GGAATGAAAGATTGGAAATCGACAGGAATGTTTTATTATTCTTTTTAAAACTTAATACCCAAGAAGTCATTTATTTCTCCCTTATCAATCATTAATTTTCAATTTGGAGAAAAGAACATTAAAAAATACACTTTTCAAAAGGAAGGTATAAACAGACGATTTTTTGAGAAAATATACACCCCTGGCCAAAATCTAAATACTCTACCTGGTATAGGGCTTTGGAAAGATTAATGTATTGGGATAAATCTGTTTGAGTTAATATTCGAGAAGTGCAAACATATCTTCGAACCTTAAATAAGAAATAAATAAATAAGTTGATATTTTGAGAGGCACCTGATACACTTTAGTTTATAGACAGTCTACCATCATTCATTACAGATCTCAGAGTTGCTAAGTCTCTACTAGTTTAAATTCCATACCTTAAATTAGAGAGTAATTTGCGAGAAGCATTTTTGTATGTATATATATAAATGAATGTTCGTGTGTTTTTTTTATCATTATTACACAATTTTCTCAGATCTGTACCTTTATTGTTTCAATAAAAAGTTTGAAAGAGATCATTCATTACATAGCGACATAATAACATAGGCAACAACATAAAATATTCGTAAATATATATTTAACCTAGAAAACTCTCTCTTTCAAACTTTTATTAAACAGAAATGTTGGAAATCTATGTATGGAGAATGAATAATAAAAAACCCAAAAATTTACAAATGCTTCACATTTTACTCTCTATTTTATAGTAAACTTAAATTTAGACTAGTATCATCTACAATTCTGAGATCTTGAATTTGACATAGAATCTGACGTTTTGAAAACTAGTTTGTCGGGTCAGGTTGCGATTTGTATTCCTCAGTCTGTAAACTAAAGGCTTATTAACAAGGGATAAGGTTAAGACCAAAGATAATATATATATAGATATGCAGGCAGGTATAAATTTAGAGGTCTTGAGAAAATGTGCAAACAGCACCATCTCTGTCGTACGCATGGCATTTTATCCTCTGGATTGTTGCTAATTTATCACTTTGTTTATGCGTGATAACACTAAATGCGTACTATAGTATCAACAATGTATACTGCATATTGTACTTAATGAAACAAATTAATCAATGCAAATAAAACTGAGGTAGGAATTTGACTAGACAAAGTTTAAATGTGCAAGTTGTACTGAATGGCATACGTAAATTAACGCAATTTAAATAAAAATTATGACTATAAAAGTACATCGAGTCTAGGACAAATTACAACTGATCTGATCATAACATAAACAA